TTTGATTACATTTCATCATGGGCAATCCTCATCATCTTGTCAGTGTAGGCCTTGCATCAGATGTGTTCTGCATCTAAGGTTTTGTTTTAATACAAAAAATATTAATTTTTCAAGAGCTTCCAGATTAATTTTAAAAGTATATTTACTAAACTCTCCTAACTAAATTACTTGAATATGTTACTTTCAGGGGCATGATGTGACTCTCAGGGATGTCCTGTGCACAACTAAGAGCAGAATTCGATGATCCTTGTGGGTCCCTTCAACTCAGCATATTCTGTGATTCTGAGAGTAAACATACATGCCTTAAAATACAGCCTTAAAGTTGGCTGCAATTTCTTAGAGGCTACATCATGCTTTTCCTATTTCCTAAATAATACATCCAAGTAATACATACAAAACAGTATAAAGTAGTCTGTTTTCACCCATTTTTCTTTGCTTTGCCTTCTGTTTTGTTAGGTGTTTTAAATAACAGCACAAGACAATTGCACCAAAGAATGGTAAATTGCATTATTAGCTTTACAGCAACAATTTAAAAATACGATGATTCAGTAAACTTCTGCAATTATATAACAAAAACTCATAGGCCTACCGGACCTACTACCAGCTAAGTTTTGAGTATACACCACGAATTCACCATGCTGGGAATTCTGGCATGCAGTTTGATCATATCTGACCCAAAGACTCCAGACGACTCTCCTGACACTACAGAGCTACTTGTCACCAGCTTCATCAAAGAACAGTGATAACTTCCCTTCTAAGATTTCTTCAAACTGTTTCTCTAATATAAAAAACTTGACCACTCCAGCTGAAGATTTCTCACCCCAGATTTCTGCCTGAAGCAGATGGGGTTTGGACAGCTTCAGCTAAAAATGTTTACAATTTTCCAAACAAAACAAGCTGGGAAGAGTCTGCGCTAGGAAATTCAATTGTTCCATGAATAGGCTTAGAACTCCCATTCTTGGGGGAAAGCCTTCACAAGTATTGGTTTTCTAGTCTTCAGGAAATTCACTCAAGTTATATTAAGAAGGACTTAAAACATACAGTTTACAAACCTGAAGCTTGGAAGCTTAAATTCATCTGTTGATTCCATCCGTTACTCATGCSAGGTCACCTAGAAGCTAGAGATCTTGTATAACAAAGGCATGCCCTACTGCCACACTTCTAACTGTGCATTTTACTGAAGCTACTTTACCAGAAGGATGTTCTCATGCAAAGCTAAAGCTCCTCCACTCTTCCTACCCCTCCATTGTTTCAGTTAAATTTTACAGAAACAAAGCCCTAAACACTTGGATATTACTGCTTGGGTCTCACAAACTAGATTTCAAATATTCAACTTGCATAGCTAAGTAACATGATGTGTACTACCATACTTCTTCATGCATAAAAGCAAAGCTGAATTTCTTCTAGAGAAGTAGGCCTGATTTGCAGCAACTCTCACCTCAAGCAAATAAGCAACTTTCGCTTCAAGCTTCAATACTCTCACCTCCTCCTGATKACTTCAGTCTCTCATGAAACAGGTTAGGAGTGGTTTCCTCATCAACAGGATTAATGACTTCAAAAGCAGTTTCAGTCACTTCCTCCTACATATATTGGCAAAGAAACCCTTGGGCTCTGATGTCTTTTTTCCCCTCCTTTGGTAAGCATGACAGAAAAGATATTGAGATAATGGGGTTTTTTAACAGCACCCATTTACAAATTTTCACTGAATTCAAATTCCAACACAGTGGGATAGGATGATGAGAGATGCCAAGACATTACTTCTTATCTTCCACCAACAGTAAATATTGCTGAAATACAACAGTGTGCATGTTTAGCTCTATGCAAAACATAAGGTACAATCTAACAGAAAACCTTAAGCTCTCTGGTATGTTTTCAAATTTAAAATTTAATGTATTTTTACTATTCTAGCATTGTAACTGAAAGCTAGAAATCCCACAATGACTACAATTCAGTCCGACAGAAAATCTGCTCTATGCCAAGATATCTTCTTCCTTTCACAAATAAACTTAGAACTTCTATTCTCAAGAACAGCTTCACAGCCTTTCCAGTTAGGAGAGAGAATATGCTGCTGGAACTCAGATCGTCTTGTCTTGCTTTTCTAAATTTCTCTAAGAACAAGTTTACTCTGAGTTAATACATAACACAGAAAATGTATTAGATGTGAATAGTCTTTGGCAGAACAAGGCTAAAATACAATTTATTCCAGAGTAAGGAAGTATTTGCTGCCCTCTAGGAAAATCCTTCCGGACAATGATCCACCATCTTCAAGAGAGAAAGAAAGAGACATCACTGCAGGTTTCTGTGTTCAGTAGACTTCTCTGGCTAACTGCAGAGTAGGCTATTGCACCAGTAATGAACTATGTATGCATTACTATCCTGTTTCTTCTGAAAGTTCCACCTCAATCTAAAATATGGATTGACTTCTGTGGCGAGCAGACAGTCATTCAGCTCTGCAGAAATGTGGAACCCCAGAAAGCACAGGATGTCCTGTACATGTTAGAGAGTAATACTATCTTGGTCAATCTTCAGTGCCACATGTGAATGATAGGTCTTTCTGGCAATAAAAGTTTAAAAAACCTATTCAACAGAGTAGTGCTATTCCTGTTGTTGACAAAAAGAAGAACAAACAAAACACAGTAATACAAAGTACTGCAATAATGAGAACACTAAGCTTTCTCCAGTAGTTCTAGGGTGTTTTAACCCTCAAAAACCCACATGTGAAGCACTGCCCACTTAAGTTCTTGTAATTGTCTCTGAAGGTCTGACAACAGCAAATTACTGTGTAGCATGTAAATTACATTAGCTCATACAGATGCTCCTAAAAAACTGCAAAATAATGGCTCCAGCTCAAAATCTTAGTTGAAGTTGTATTCTACTGCCAGCTAAGAACATGACACTGTTGAAATTCAGCCCATAAACAGTGACTCACTTAGGTTTCTACATTCTTATAACCTCATATACCTCCCATTTTTAGGAGGACATTACTTAACCAGTCTTCCCACCTTCGGCAAGATTCAAGGAATTCTAGAGGTTTCCAGGGAGATAACAGGAAGCAGTACTCAGTAGCAGGATCATGGTTCTACTAGCAGACTGTACAGGTTTAACCATACTGAGTGATAACCGGATGAAATAGGAAAAGAATTTGGCCTAGGTAGTAGTTTTTACAACACATACACCAATCTTCAGGGKTTTTTTAAGTTTCCACCTCAGCATTCTCTTCATCTCACATTCAATGGGAGTGCCCGTTTTTATTCTTAATATTAAAATATTAATTATTTTATCACAGCCCTAAGAGAATGGAAGTTATTTACAGTTTCACATCTCTCAACATCCAGTTCTGATTGTGCAAGAGCAACCCTTCTGACCTTCGTTCTTATGAGCACCATGGAAACAGAAAAGCAACCCATAATCAAGAAGGAAACTTCAGAATTAATTACGGTAAATATACAAGAAAATTAACATTTGAGGGGAGTGAAACTATAAAAAAGAATTCCCTAACTCTTCACTGAACATGATCCCAACTGTGTCCGAAACTGGATATAGTAAGTACCAAACTCACAAATGCTGCTCATGTAGGCAACTTCATCTATAATATTTCACTATCCCATTTTCTCAAGCAAGACATCTGTTAACTAAAATGTTCACACTAATTGGTCTGGCCWCTGTCAGACTACACAGAAAAACACAACTCATCACAGCTCATCTTCCCCGCCTCTCAAATAAAGATTCCGGGGTAAAAACCTGGGGTTTGTCCCACACACACAYCATCTGTACCTGAAGAGGTACGTCAGCACAGAATAAAGGTAAGCAGGTCACACAGCTCCAAACTCATGTTCCTTGATTTAACCCCTTACAAGAAACAGGCGATTGTACACAATGTTCCCTATAGATCAGCTCTCACAAACGTTCATTGTCACCAAAGTGTAGAACACAAAACTCTAGTAATTTGCTATTGGGTTCACAATGTAGGCTTAGATTGCCTCCTGGTCAAGAGTTAAATTCCTATTTCTTAAGTTTTTTCCACTTATTTGTAAAGATACACACTTTATCTATCTCTTTTGGGGCAGAAATCTCACTGCCCTGAATTACTCAGCCCTGAATTACACTTCAACACTCATCTGCTCAAGAAGATGCATCTTAGGAGTCACTTTCCCAGAAATGTACCACACATCCGGTGCCTTTGCTGTCAGGTAATAGCTATGCCTCACTTTCACAACTCGAGCACTGCGCTCACCTCTTAGTTTACGTAACGCAGCTTCAAAGGTTACACCCTTCAGCAAAGTTACAGCCTGAGGCGACCTATTCGAAATCACATCCATTCATTACCCCAGGTGACAGGAGGTATCACCTCACGGAACGCTTCCAGCCAGTCACCCCTGCCATACCGGCTTCCCGYGGTGGGGATGAAGCACCTCTATGGACTGCCAGTCGTCGCCCTGATCCCGCCCGGGACACGCCGGGACTCACACATCACAACTTCTGCCCGCGCGAATTAACCCGGCGCCGCCGCCTCTCCCCGCCCCGCCACGTGTGGACCCGGGGCGGCGTTTTTCCTGGAAGCCTGTCGCGGTCGGGCCGCTTTCCCGCTCTGCCCGGCCGGGGTTGCGGAGGGGCGCAGGAGAACGGGCGTTGCTCCCTCCTTGCCCCCCGCATCCCTCGGGCTGCCCTGTCACTTGGGCAGGATGAAGGCGGGGGTCGAGGGAGGAGCCTCCCGCCGCTCAGGTGGGAAAACAAACACACAAAAGGTCTCGCCAGGACCCGCAGAGGGGTTTTACTCTCTGGGGTTTTTCCTTCATGGGGAAAAAGGGGGTCCCGGAGCATTCCGTCAGGGCGCGCTCCCCGCCGTGCCTCCGTTACCCCCAGGCCCGGGAGTAAACAAAAGCGGGAGCTCACAGAATGGCACATGGGTGGAGACGGGGACCCCCGAACCTCACAAAAGGCCGGGCCTGGGATTAGGGAGACGGCCGAGAGTCCGCCCGATACGCGAGTTCCCGCCTGACCTGCTTGCCCCGGTAGAAGAGGCGCTGGCGGTCGGGGCTCACGCGGAAGGTCTCCTGGATCTTCTCCCGCAGACACTCGATCTTGGTGAGGCGGCTCAGGTCGTCGATGGTCTGGGTCTGGGTGCCGTCGATGGTGCGGACCTGGATCCACATGGTGCGCGCCCTCCCGCCCGCTCGGCCGACCGCGGGCAAAGCAGGGCGGACCTGGGCAGGGGGTAGGAACGGGGACCGCTCCGCGGATGAGCGCCCGCGGCGTGGGAGGTGCAGGGGAGKGGTCCGGGCTCTTTGTTCGGCCCGGCGGGGCAGGAATTTCAAACCCCGCGCAGCGGGCGCGACCCTCCCGCCCGCAATCCGGGCCGCCCGTACCGCTAGGCGGGGCGCGGAAGACGGAAGGGGAGCCTAGCGGATCCCGCGGCACTCCCCGATYCCGCCGAGGCAGTGCGGGTGACGGCGAGTCCCGACGGGCCGGCGGTGACCAGGGCTATGCGGATGCGCCGGAAGCCATCGCCCGGCCCGGGCACTGTTTACCGGGGAGCGCCGCCGCGCTCACATGGAGGTCACGGCGCCAACGCCGATCTCGCGAGAGCGCCCGGCCGGGCCGTGCAGACAGCACGGCGGGGCGGGGGCGGGGGGGAGCGAGGCGGGCACGCGGCACCACCACGCCCCATCCCGCCGCGCGCTCCGGCCGGCGCCGGCCCTCGCGCCGCGCGCGGCACCGCGCGCTCCGCCCCGCGCGCCCTCCCTGGCCGGCGGGAGGCCTGCGGTGGGGCGGGGCTGGCGCGCGCCGGGGAAGCGGCCGTTGGCGTCTCCATGGCGGCGCGCGTGGCCTTGAGGCCTCTGAGGGCTTCGTGCTCGGGGCTGGCGGGCCGGGCAGCGCCTCAGCATCCGTGGCAACCGAGAGAAGAGGAACCGCTGGAGAAACCGAGGCCCAACGAATCCTATGACTTACCGCTTTCTCATAGCCGTATGTCACCCTACCCCAAAGATACAGATTAGGCTATGGCTGGAAATACGGAACGAGACTAGAGGAGGCAGGCTTCGTTTACACCGCGAATCTGGTGTGCATTTGGCTATTATTCTGCATTGGATAATTCTGCGAATTAACACAATGCAAATCTGGAGTTACATGGCTGTTGTGGGCTAGCCCTGGTGGGCCCCACACAGCACCTGTCACCTTGTCACTCTGTCACAAGAGGGTGGAGAACAAAGAAAATGAAAAGTGAGAAAATGACTATCCAAATAWAAAAAACAGTTTAATAGATAAAGCCAAACGCTGTGCATGCAGCAAAGGGAGGAAGTGTTTAAGTACTTAAATTGGCAGGCAGATGTGTGTTCAGCCATTTCCACAAACACAGAGCTTTGTCACGTGCGAAGGAAGACAAGCACCTTCTAACATCCTGGACTTTGTCCTTATCCCAGCTCTCATTGCTGAGCATGACACCAAGTGGTCTGGGATGTCACCAGCCTTCCCTTCTGGGTCCCTTACTAGCTTTGTGCCCTCCAGCCTACTCACTGGCAGTGTTGTCCCAAATACGGGTTCTTTTATGTGTTGCGTAAGAGGCCGACCCACACAGAATTGAGATACTTGTTTATTTTCATGTCTGTGCAGAGGTGAATTGTCAGAGTCAGCACACCCAGTTACAGTCAGGCTGCATATTTCTGCTTTCATAACACAGAAGTACAAGCTCTCCTAATTTCTAACTACCCATCTATTTAATAGCTTTTGAACTCAAACATGGGAAATTAAAGTTAGATATACAGAAGAAATTTTTTTACTTTGGGGTGATGAGACAGAGAAATAGGTTGCCCACGAAGTTGTGGATATTCCATCCCTGGAAGTGTTCAAGGCCAGATTGGATGGGACRTTGAGGCACACTGGTGGAAGTGCCCTTGTCCATCACAAGGAGAATGAAAATAGATGATCTTTAAGGCCGCTTCCAAACCAAACCACTCTATGATTCTACAATCATTTGTCCATTTCAGTGTAAGTACAATGCATTTTAAATTTATTGCTAATGTTCAGTGTGTGACTGACATAGGCTGGAGGGGGTAGCCTAAGCTTTATAGGGGTGGTTTTCGTGTATTTCATGTATTTCAATAATGAGCTAAGTTCATCTAAAAGACATGAGTTTAGTTGATTTTGCTCACTTGAGTAAAATCTATGGTGCACTGCCAGACAGTTTCATGCTTATCTGCATCTTTATGGTATTTGCTCTCAATTATTCACTCTGCAAAATCTTTTCCTTAAATCATTCGTCATTCGGTATTTCTCCCCTTTGAGACCTGAATTTCTCAATCTGAATATGAGACATTTGAGCCTCATTTGTTTTATCAGAAAATACCTCTTCTTGTTTTCTCTGAAATTCCAAGGGATTTTCTCATGCCAGCAAGTCCCACTATATCTCTTCCCTTGTAATTATGGTAACATCCCTCATACTGTTTTTCATATTCATGGAAATCGAGAATAATTAGCATTGATACTAATTATCATCATTATTGGGCATGTTCTAGAAAGTACATTTTTACTTGCTTCCATATGTATTTATATACACCGTAAGACACAACAAGCAGTAAGTACCAATAGTAAAAGGATAAATAATCAACACAATTGTTTCAGCTATCCTTTATTTGGTGACCATGAAGGTAGCCCAGAAAAATATGCTCCTGTATATTCTTAGTCTCCTGAATTATCTATGCTATGGATCTATTGTCTCTTCAATTAACTGCAAGTTCTCAAGTAAGTGGAAACAACACATCCCTATAAAAATTTTAAACCCATGATTGCAGTAACAAATAATCTATAGCTGTTCTGTTCTCATAGCATGATGTACTTGGGTCATTTCTGCATATAGGGCATCTGGGGCCTGTGAGCTAAAGTTTATGCTTTTTACCATGTTACATGTCAGCCACTTAAGGAGTGTGGTAACTCATTGCCCCCCCTGCTCCTGGGATCAAAAAGGGCACCATATTGAGACTCTGCAGGCTAAAAAAAAACAGCTTCCAGATCGCAGTTCAGATCAATCTGATCTAAYTCTCTCTTTGGTCTAGACAGTTCCTTTTTAAATTCTTCACCAAAATTAGACTTTAATGGAATAAATGCATGGGCTACCAGTGACATTTGCCAAGATATAGCAATAAGCTCCRTGATTGCACATCAAAAACCATCTGAAGGGTAGAGCTGTATGTGCCTTTGCAGTGCTGACCTCTTCTGTCCTATTACATCTAAGGGCGCCGGGATGCTGGTGAGATTTTTCCAGCTATTCATGCAATTTACAAACTTGTTCTGTTTGCAACACCTCTGTGCTGGGAAACATCCCCTCACTTTCAGCCCTACTGCAGGGAAAATTCCTTTGATTTTCAACTTAGGCTGGAGCATTTGGCAGAGAGGAACTTTCTGAAACTCAACAAAGGCACATGCACCTGGGGAGGAATACACTTGTACACCATTTCAGGCTGAAGGCTGACCTTCTGGAAAGCAGCTCTGAGAAGGACCTGGAGGTTCTTCTGAACAATTGTTACCAGAAATTGGTAAAAATAAAAATTCCTTGACATCATTGGATCATGAAGAAAAAGTCCTTTAAATGTATTATCTAACCAGTTACTTTCTAATCCTGCTAATTCTCTACTAGATGCCACAATACTATCCTTTCTATCTGATCATGCAGTTAAACAGTCGCATTTGGAATGTGCACACAAACAAGTATTGTTGTTTAAATTCAAGCAAACACATACTACACATTCATGTAACAGCAATAGAGCTAGAGCCAATCTGTTTTGTATAGTTATTTTAGCTGTGGCTTGCAACTGTCTATTTGTTTCAGCAAACCCCAGCTGAGTAGCATTTGCTAAAGTTTCCATTTGTGGAATCAAATTGTGTGTGGTTAGTCCATTCCTAAAGACAGATTTTTGAGGCGTAAAGATAGACTCTAAAGTACATCTCACTATAGTTCTCATACTGGGAGAGTATGAGACTCCAAGGAGTCACCACAGTAGGGTTCCCAGTGGTGACTCCTTCCACAAGAGGCATWGCGTTAATACTCCTAATGTCCATTGGGCTCTTGATTCTCCTAATGGTAAATGTGTGGTCCAAATTCCATTACTTCCTACCCATGCTGTGGGTCCTAATGATTTTATGATATCCTGCTGATAGTCTGTATCTCTCCAAGTCTCATTGTTTGTTAGGTGAGACCAGGAGTCATTAAGAAAGGAAAATAATTTCACCCAGCCTTAGACCCTGGGCCACTGACATGAGCTGCTTTACCTCAGGATTGCTACTAATGCAAGCATATGTTTGAGTGCAATTCTACTTTTCCTTTCTATTTCTCTATTTCTCCATGTGTTTCCTGATGTTTAGTTTATACTTTAATTGTGGAGATGTAATTACCTGCCCACATGAGGTTACTGCAATGGTTACTTTAATGATGGGACTAACTCCCTGCCCTTATTACTGCAATTTGGTTTTTGTTCTAGGACTTTCAACTTTTTTCTAGGCATTAATGAAAGATACTTTTTTCAGTAAGCTCTTTAGCTGTTTTGTCAGCTAATCAATCGCCTGTATTAACTGGGGAGTTTCCAAATGGATAGCTTTATAAAAGTGCATTATGGCCACTTCCTTTGACTTTTGCACACTCTGTAGTAGTTGACTAATTTTTTATTTGTACTTTACAGGAGACTCCTTTGTATGTAACAAGCCCCTTTCATATGGCTCCATAATCACGTTTATTTCAAAACTGTATTTTAAAAAGATGACTGAGGGAGAACATCATCAATGATTGTAGGTATCTGAAGGGGAGGTGCCAAGAAGATGGAGCCAGGCTCTTCTCAGTGTTGCTAAGCAATAGGACAGGAGATAAACAGGAACTGATGCTCAGAGGGTTCCACCTGAGTATGAGGAGGAACTTACATGCTGTGTGAGTGACAACTCACTGAAGAAATTTGCACAGAGAGGTTTTGGAGTGTCCCTCACTGGCAATATTCAAGAACCATCTGAATGCACTCCTGTGGGATGTGCTCTAGGTTAGTCCTACATGAGCAGGGAGTTGGACCAGATGTTCTGCTGTGGTTCTTTCCAACCTGACCCATTCTCTGATTCTATAAAGGGCTCAAAACCTTTATGTGCTTCTAGCCTGATCAGGCATTGTTTTTTGTCACTGGGTCTGCTCCTTGTTTGAGTTCTAATTTTAAGTAGTCATGTTGTTTGCCTTAGCTGGTTTCCTTGAAGCTCATACCAGAAGGATTACTGCATTCAGTATCGCATCCTGGATATAAATCTCAAGTTCTTTAGAGGTCTGATTTATTAGTAAACAGACTCATGCTTTCCATGCCTTTTCTGGTGGGTTGTACAGCTGTGTAGAGTTTTCAAAAATTTGAGCATTTAACTTGCATTAATCTCATCCTAACAATGGAAGGGGATATTCTGGCATATATAGAAATGAATGAGTCAATTTAGTATCTCCAAGTGTACAGTTTATGAGTTGTAGGAATGGCTGCAAAGCTCTTCTTTCCATTGTCCCAGCAAGTGGTGTTTCAACTTTGCTTGGCAGACCCTTACAGATAATTATTAATGAATATGTGATCCATCTGCATATCAAAAATCTCATTTCAA